TTTNGCTCGCGGAGGATAGGTGTTATGTGGGTGAAGCGAGGTGCACCCACAATCGCTCGCGCGGCTGCATTCTGGACTAGCTGGACTAGGTGTCGGCATTAAAGGCACCTGTGACCCCTGGGATAATACATCAAGACGTCACAATGCTAAACCCGTCCCTGGTGTTATTTGTGCTAAAGGCTTGTAGCGGGTGGCTCTTCGGTCAGGGACGAGTCTTCCGATGGTGAAACTTTCTTCCGAATGTCTCTTTCGAGGTCCGTGGAACGAAGCACCATTGGTGGATCTCCTGTGCTCCTTGGGCTGACCCAGTCCCTGGAGCTGTTCCTTAGACAAGGCCTGGTCCTCGCCCTGCGACTAAGTCCTGCAGGGTTCCTGTGCCACCTCTTCTCCGTTCTTCTATGCCCGCCAGGAGCTCCTGCTGGTTACATGGCCCTGCGCGGATGGAACCGGGGAAGGAAGGAAGAAAATGGAGAAGAAGGAAAGAAGGGAGGGAAATGAAAAAGAGAGAGGGAGGGAGGAAATGGAGAAAGAGAGGAAGGAAGGGAAGAGAGGGAAGGAAAGGATAAAGAGAGACAAGAAGTGGAGAATGAGGTGAAAGGAGGGAGGGAGGCAATGGAGAAAGAGGAAGGAAGAGAAGGAGGGAAAGGAGGAAGAGAGGAAGGAAATGGAGAAAGAGAGGAAGGAAGGGAAGAGAGGGAAGGAAAGGAGAAAGAGAGGCAGGAAGTGGAGAATGAGGTGAAAGGAGGGAGGGAGGCAATGGAGAAAGAGGGAGGAAGAGAAGGAGGGAAAGGAGAAAGAGAGGAAGGAAATGGAGAAAGTTGAAAGGAGGGAGGGAGGCAATGGAGAGAGGAATGAAAGGAATTAGGGAAAGGGAAAGGAAGGAAAAGAGAAAGGCAGAAAATGAATAAAGAGGAAGGAAGGGAAGGAGGGAAAGGAGAAGGAAAGAGAAAGAGGGAGAGAGAGAGGAAGGAAGGGGAGAATTAGAGGGAGGGAGGAAGGACTGAGAATGGAAGAAGGGAGGAAGGAAGGAAAGAAAGTCTTTATCAAGCAAGCACAGAAACCAAGAACAAACCCATAAAAGACCAGAAGTTTATTTCAACTGGCATCCAATCAACCAGGGTCAAATGCGGGCAGGAGAAAACCGGACCGGGTGATCCCTCTGCTGGGGGGGGGGGCGGGTGGCAATAAAACCACAGCCA